TGACTTGACTGGAAATAAATCTATGCTGTTCTGTATGCAAAGCGCCTCCCATTTGAGATGTAGGTGAAAAAGCATCTCACGAGAGATTATTTTCCTAAATTGGGACAGTCAAAATATGGCATGCTTTGCCATCTAAGAACTTGACACAAAAAACAGAACATTTCTGGTCAGTGGTAGGAAAATGTGGCATAAAACTCTTTGCCTTCGGTCTGGGCTTCTCAAAACTTTTTCCACAAAATGTGTTCATTCACAGCTCAGTCTGCTGTGTACAACACTGCATGTGGTTGTATTTTTTTCTTTTAGACACTGTCTTCACTACATTTGCCAGGTCATCGTAAAGCTCCCAGACACACGGAGCTCTCCGACAGTATGCAGTGTAATGTCCCAGGCTATCTTTGGTCAAGCTTCCCTTGAAAGCGATGACTGCTCTCAAAGTGAATGTCTTTCCTTGCAGAGCCAAAACGGAGGGAAATTCACTCAAGGGAAATTCAGATGGGTTTGCAATGTCAGTGTCTATCCATGATATTTCTCCAATGCTGTAGCCGTGAGTAACGGTCCCTGCACAGAGAATATTTCCGGAGGTGTTGGCTCCTGTTTTGAATTCGGCTGGACATTTTGATTCATTCTGTAGAGGCCGGAGGCAGGGAGACTCTGGAAGGAAGAGTCCTTTTTCCACAGAAGTGTCAAGCTGAGCCATGCCAGAATCCTTCAGGATAGAAATGTCAGGAAGAACAAATGGTACTTCCCTTGTTGTTCCTTTGTTCAGCTGGCAGTACTGTGAAGAACAGTTTTTTGAGAGGTAAACTTGATAAATTTCCCATTGTTTTTCTAACAACAGTGGAAATATTGCACTGGGCATGCATTTGGTGGGCACCAGACCTCAACTGAGATTTAAAAAAAGTAGACCACTTTGGTTCGATTTGGAGCAAGATGGGAGGATGATGACCTCTGGATGACCTAAAAATAAATTTTAATATCTCATAAATCAAAGCAGCACAAATGAAAGTTTTAACGGCACAAACCTGCACAAACCGAGCACTAACCACTTATTCTATTTGCTGGAATTTTTCACGTGGGTGGGGGGTCAGCTTCACTCAGCTGCGAGAGCGAGGAGACATTTGGCGCGCTTCTCCGCGCGCGCGCGTTCAGATGTCTTTTCTACGCTTGCGCGCATCTCCATTCCTCACGCGGAGCGTGACGCTAGTTTTGTATTTGCTCTCGCGGGATTTGGGTGCTCCAGCTGTGAAGTTGCCTTCCCTGAGACAAACTGCAGTACGAAACTCTTTTACCTGTGCTGTGCCTTATGAGATGACGTAAATAAAACAGCGTCTTGTCATATCGCTAAAGACACGGTCCTTAGAGGCTAACAAGACGGCTGTTAGCCTAAGGACTGTATCTTTAGTGATATGATAAGCCGCTGTTTTATTAATGTGGCGCTACCTCCTCTCACTGTAAGACGAGTCTGTGGACAGTAGTTCTTCTTCTGCCCGTCCGTGCAACATGCAGCCTCCTCCTCCTCCCATACAAGCAGGTGGTGCAGCTGGGAAGGATTATTATTTAATATGTTTAAAAAAAAGTCTAAAAACAAACTTTAATATATGTAAATAGTTATTTTTTACATTTATTTTGTACAATTATAGCTGTTAATAAATGTGCCTGTGTGAGCTTTGACTCAGAAATATATTTTTGTTATTAATTTATGGAAAGAAAAATATATTGAGATGTATATCAACATTTTTTTAAAATATCGATATTAATTTTGGTTCATATAGCCCAGCCCTACAGGGTTAATGGTAGACTGTACTTATTAGGGGTGCACCGATAAATCGGCCCCAATTTCCTTAATTTTGGGAAATCAGCCGATACTAGCATGAGGAACCGATTTTACCTATTTTTTGTCGTTTTAACAATTGACTTAACTTCATTTGTATTTCAGAGCACTACCTCATGGCCAGTTAAAACATGTTTGTATTGTTCTAGGATATTGTTCAAGGGTTTGTTTTTCAACAAAATAATATTGGAAAGTTGAAAGTGCATTGTGACCTTATAACACCTTACAGTGTTGCTTATAAAACAAAATCGGAATCGGCAGGTCAGACTTTTTAAAAATTGGTGATCAGCCAGAAAACTGCAATTGATGCACCCCTAGTACTTCTAGAACACCTTTCTGTCTGATCAAGATAATCAAAGTGCTTTACACTACAATCTATGTGCTCATTTACCCATTCATACAGCTCTCTACTAGATCTAAAGCTAATTGAACAAATCATTCTAAAGAGACTAACCAGAGCTTTATCACATTCATACACTGATGGGACACACATCGGAGACAGTGAGGGGTTCAGTGTCTTGCCCAGGGACACTTAGACATGTGACTGCTGGTGGATTTGAATGACAAACTCTTGCATTGGAGGACGACTGCTCTAACCACTCAGCCACAGATGCCCAGTAGATATAGAGTAGATATGTTAATTCACAACTGTTTAAATATATTTTTTATTTATAGGATGTTTTGTTATTGGATAATAAAAGACAGAAAGTAGTGCAGTTACAGAGCGGTAAGCTTAAATAAATAGAAAAAGAGAATCCGCCAATTTCACGTCTCTGGTCAGTCTGCTGCAGAGCCAGAACGAAATGTCTGAATTCCATCAAGTCAGAAAGATTTCTTTATAGAGCCTCATTATTTACATCAAAACGTGTTAATGTTAAGTCTTGATGAAATCCAGTAACCTTTCCAACATGCAACATCCGCTTCATGAACCTGAAATCAAACTGAAATTAAATTAAATTTTATTTCATAAATGTTTTATTGTAGATTTCTGAGAGTACAAATGTAAGGGACATTACAAAAGGCATGAAGAGCACAATAAGCACCATGGAAGCTCTCCTCACATCAAGGAGAAGGAGAAGGCAGCTGTTAGAACATCTTAATAGTATTTAAAAATTACAAATAAAACCAACACAGTCCTTTTTCCTCAACAGTCAGAGATATAAACGTTAAATATTCCAGTAAATAATAACTATTGTATTTTTTATTATAGACAAATGAGGTCTGAAAAATGGTAGAGGTTGATGAGCTTGCAGAACAAACCATTCCCCCAGTTTTAGAATGAACTTCCAACACGATGCAGAAAGGACCAAGTCATGGGGCTAAGGGTGGGAGAGGAAATACAGTACCTTGCGAAAGTATTCGGCCCCCTTGAACTTTTCAACCTTTTGCCACATTTCAGGCTTCAAACATAAAGATATAAAATGTTCATTTTTTTGTGAAGAATCAACAACAAGTGGGACACAATCGTGAAGTGGAATGAAATTTATTGGATGTGTCAAACTTTTTTAACAAATAAAAAACTGAAAAGTGGGGCGTGCAATATTATTCGGCCCCTTTACTTTCAGTGCAGCAAACTCACTCCAGAAGTTTTGTGAGGATCTATGAATGATCCAATGTTGTCCCAAATGACTGATGATAATAGAATCCACCTGTGTGTAATCAAGTCTCCGTATAAATGCACCTGCTCTGTGATAGTCTCAGGGTTCTGTTCAAAGCGCAGAGAGTATCATGAAGACCAAGGAACACACCAGGCAGGTCTGAGATACTGTTGTGGAGAAGTTTAAAGCCAGATTTGGATTAAAAAAAGATTTCCTAAACTTTAAACATCCCAAGGAGCACTGTGCAAGCAATCATATTGAAATGGAAGGAGTATCAGACCACTGCAAATCTACAAAGACCCGGCCGTCCCTCTAAACTTTCATCTCGAACAAGGAGAAGACTAATCAGAGATGCAGCCAAGATGCCCATGATCACTCTGGATGAACTGCAGAGATCTACAGCTGAGGTGGGAGAGTCTGTCCATAGGACAACAATTAGTCGTACACTGCACAAATCTGGCCTTTATGGAAGAGTGGCAAGAAGAAAGCCATTTCTCAAAGATATCCATAAAAAGTGTTGTTTAAAGTTCGCCATAAGCACCTGGGAGACACCAAACATGTGGAAGAAGGTGCTCTGGTCACATGAAACCAAAATCGAACTGTTTGGCCACAATGCAAAATGATATGTTTGACGTAAAAGCAACACTGTCAAACATGGTGGTGGCAGCATCATGGTTTGGGCCTGCTTTTCGTCAGTAGGGACAGGGAAGATGGTCAGAATTGATGGAAAGATGGATGGGGCCAAATACAGGACCATTCTGGAAGAAAACCTGTTTGAGTCTGCAAGAGACCTGAGACTGGGACAGAGATTTATCTTCCAACAAGACAATGATCCAAAACTTAAAGCCAAATCTACAATAGAATGGTTCACAAATAAGCGTATCCAGGTGTTGGAATGGCCAAGTCAAAGTCCAGACCTGAATCCAATCAAGAATCTGTGGAAAGAGATGAAGACTGCTGTTCACAAACGCTCTCCAGCCAACCTCACTGAGCTCGAGCTGTTTTGCAAGAAAGAATGGGCAAGAATTTCAGTCTCTCCATGTGCAAAACTGATAGAGACATACCCCAAGAGACTTGCAGCTGGAATTGCAGCAAAAGGCGGCGCTACAAAGTATTAACGCAAGGGGGCCGAATAATATTGCACGCCCCACTTTTCAGTTTATTTGTTAAAAAAGTTTGACACATCCAATAAATTTCATTCCACTTCTTGATTGTGTCCCACTTGTTGTTGATTCTTCACAAAAAATACAATTTTATATCTTTATGTTTGAAGCCTGAAATGTGGCAAAAGGTTGAAAAGTTCAAGAGGGCCGAATACTTTCACAAGGCACTGTATAATAATAATAATAATAATAATAATAATAATAATAATAATAATAATAATAATAATAATAATAATAATAATAATTTTATTTAAAAAGTGCCTTTCAAGACACCCAATATGGCCTTTGTGAAAGAAGTGTCAACAGCCAGGAAAATGTTCTGCTGCAGCTGGGCAAACGCAACCTGCAGGGGAGGTTTCAAAAGTCAGCAACCCTTCATTAAAATGGTGAGGTGTAACATCACATTCATTAGCAGTCCTGTGTAGCCCTCCCCAGGTCGTCATCCTGTGGCTCTGCTCTTTTCTCCTCTTCATCTTGCTCCTCTTTCTCACTCAGTTCTTCTCCAATTACATCTAACCTCTCCTCCAGGTTATTAAGCACCTCTTCCTCCTGGTTGTTATGAAGCCTCGTCTCTTGCAGCAGCAGTCGCCGCTCTTCAACCAGCAGGAGGCGCTCTCTGATGCCCTCTGCTGCTGTTGCTTTGTTGCTGGGGCTCCCAAAGAACTGTTCACTCCTGAAATGACAGGTGGCGGTCAGTGGGTGTAACAACACATCAACAACACATCAACTCAACTATGGCAAAATACAATTGATCACTAGAAAACAAAATGTATTTGTAAATGCAACTTCCAGTTTCTGTCTGTGAGGCTGACACATGGTCTACTTTTAAGATTAGGCTTAAGTCTTTTCTTTTTGATTAATCTTATGGTTGGGGTTGGCTTGGGGTTTCCTGAGCTATCCCTTAGTTATGCTGCTATAGGCTTAGACTGCTGGAGGACAAACTGACCACATTTCTTCACTCCACTGCTGTCTTTACTTATTCAAACGGTTTTCTGTTCTTAGTTCATATCTTAGATCTTATTACGGTTTTTCTTTACATTTTATACTTTTGTTGGATGTAACTGGGACCCTGTGTACACATCTTTGTTCCACCACATGTACCACATGTGGTGTGAATGAACAATAAGCAACTCTGACTTGTATTTCTTCCTGTTTTTTATTTTTTTTATATCATCATGTGTTTTTGTCTTCCAATAGGAGGTACACCTGTACCAACATCTGGACTTGCCATTCTGTGTTTGTTCATTCCTCCTTCCTGTCCTCTCAAACCCAGCCGGTCGAAGCAGATGATCAGATTCTGAGTCTGGTTCTGCTGGAGGTTTCTTCCTGTTAAAATAAAGTTTTTCCTTTCCACTGTCTCCTTTGTGCTCGCTCAGGATGGGAGACTGTGATGAAGTGAAGATTCTACACAATCTGCTGCTTCATTAGAGAACTTTTAATGGGCGTTTATAATATATATGATTTTTTTTGTGTGTATATATATATACACATACATATATATACATAAATATACATATATATATACACAAACATATATATATACACACACACATACAGGTCCTTCTAAAAAAATTAGCATATTGTGATAAAGGTCATTATTTTCCATAATGTAATGATAAAAATGAAACTTTCATATATTTCAGATTCATTGCACACCAACTGAAATATTTCAGGTCTTTAATTGTTTTAATACTGATGATTATGGCATACAGCTCATGAAAACCCAAAATGCCTGTCCCAAAAAATTAGCATATTTCATCCCACCAATGAAAGACAAGTGTTTTTAATACAAAAAACGCCAACCTTCAAATAATCATGTTCAGTTATGCACTCAATACTTGGTCGGGAATCCTTTTGCATGAATGAATGCTTCAATGCAGCGTGGCGTGGAGTCAATCAGCCTGTGGCACTGCTGAGGTGTTATGGAGGCCCAGGATGCTTCGATAGCGGCCTTAAGCTCATCCAGAGTGTTGGGTCTTGCGTCTCTCAACTTTGTCTTCACAATATCCCACAGGTTCTCAAATGGGGTTCAGGTCAGGAGAGTTGGCAGGCCAATTGAGCACAGTAATACCATGGTCAGTAAACCATTTACCAGTGGTTTTGGCACTGTGAGCAGGTGCCAGGTCGTGCTGAAAAATGAAATCTTCATCTCCATAAAGCTTTAAAGCAGATGGAAGCATGAAGTGCTCCAAAATCTCCTGATAGCTAGCTGCATTGACCCTGCCCTTGATAAAACACAGTGGAACAACACCAGCTGACTGTGGAAACTTGACACTGGACCTCAAGCAATGTGAATTCTGTGTCTCCTCTCTTCCTCCAGACTCTGGGACCTTGATTTCCAAAGCAAATGCAAAATTTACTGTAATCAGAGAACATAACTTTGGACCACTCAGCAGCTGTCCCAGGCGAGATGCTTCTGACCCAGTCTTGTTCAAAAGTGGCTTGACCTGGGGAATGCGGCACCTGTAGCCCATTTCCTGCACACGCCTGTGCACGGTGGCTCTGGATGTTTCTACTCCAGACTCAGTCCACTGCTTCCGCAGGTCCCCCAAGGTCTGGAATCGGCCCTTCTCCACAATCCTCCTCAGGGTCCGGTCACCTCTTCTCGTTGTGCAGCGTTTTCTGCCACACTTTTCCCTTCCCACAGACTTCCCACTGAGGTGCCTTGATACAGCACTCTGGGAACAGCCTATTCGTTCAGCAATTTCTTTCTGTGTCTTACCCTCTTGCTTGAGGGTGTCAATGATGGCCTTCTGGACAGCAGTCAGGTCGGCAGTCTTACCCATGATTGCGGTTTTGAGTAATGAACAAGGCTGGGAGTTTTTAAAAGCCTCAGGAATCTTTTGCAGGTGTTTAGAGTTACGTCGTTGATTCAGATGGTTAGGTTAATAGCTTGTTTAGAGAACCTTTACATGATATGCTAATTTTTTGGGACAGGCATTTTGGGTTTTCATGAGCTGTATGCCATAATCATCAGTATTAAAACAATTAAAGACCTGAAATATTTCAGTTGGTGTGCAATGAATCTGAAATATATGAAAGTTTCATTTTTATCATTACATTATGGAAAATAATGACCTTTATCACAATATGCTAATTTTTTTAGAAGGAC